GGCCTCGGGTGGCTCTTGCAAATGCAAGGCCGCGTCAACGTGCGCTGGGCGTGCAGCTCGATCTTGCGCATGAACACGATCTTACTCTGGATGGTGACGGCGTACTACACGATGCTGCAATGGCTCTTTGCAAAGCAGAGCCGCATCTGCCTCGTCGCGGTCTGCCTCTCCAAGAACGTGCTGGGCATCACCGTGCTCCTGGTCACGATCTGGGGCAATGCGAATTTGCAGACGCTCACCACGTACTTTGTGCAAAATCCGATCGCGTCGACAAAGACAATCATTTTGGCGGTTTGTGGGCCGGCGCTCGTCGCGTCGATCGTGGGCATCATGACCGGGCCGCTCATACAGCTTTGCTTTACGCCTCGTGTCGTGACCCAGACGTGGCTGCTCACGCTCTTCACATTGCTCAACTGGGGTCTCGTCTTTGGCCTTGAAACCATCGTGTTCCCCTACATGAACTTGAGTGTGCCCGGACCATGCGGCTTTGCGTCGTCGACCAACTGCATCCATTTGACAGCGATTCCGCACACGTACTACCTCTCGGCCGTCGTCGGGGGCGCCGTTGTCGTAGTGGCTGTCGGCACGATACGGATCCACGCTTGCTGCTTCCGCGACTCGCTGCGGGTGCCCCCGACGCACTCGATGCTGCAGTACCTCGGCATTCAAGACCTGCGCGAGATCGCCACGTCGGGCCGTGGCTGCGTCGTTCGCAACTTTGATGGAGACGTTGTCGTCGACTCGGGCATTCTAGTGATGAAAAACATGCTGCGGATTACGAATACGTACCTCACGCGCCTCGCCAACGCACAGTATGAGCTTTTCCACTGGTTCTTACCGCGCCGCATTCGGTCGGCCTTGGCCCACCGGTTTCGGACCATTCTCGTTGTACATATCGACAAGGACAAGATCACGCGCCGGTCGTACTACGTGCCGATGCACAACGTCCACGTCGACGGTGACGAAGTGTGCGCTTTGGGCTTCTCCTAACAAAATCAAGGGTATGCATGACCTTGGTTATATATCTTCGTCTGTTGGGTGCCATCACAAGAAACCCCTCGTTGCTGTACATTGGACAAAGCAATCTCTTGCTAGCACATACTAGTCGGAGTTCGACGAAATTGGTTTTATCTTGACACATT